CTTTTACGAAATGACTTTTGTTGATAGGATCAAGTTGGTTTGGAATGAAACGATGAACTGACTGGGGTTGGTAAAAAGAACTATCGAATGCTAGTTGAGTTGTATAAATGTCAAGTGATTGCTGAATGAATCAAGGGTCCTGCATTCGATCACGATTTAGTTAATCCATCATTGAGGAGTTTGGCAGTAGAATATAGCCGCTATCCAGTACTTCCTAATGTCCACTGATGATGAAATATGAAATTTAGCAACCTTCACAAACATCCGTGCAGATAAGAATTCAGCAAGTTAGAAACACAAGTTCACTGAGATTCAAGAAAGTGATGTTCATCAGTAAAGTGAGAGAAAGAATATCATCTGATCGGAAATTATTTATTTTTTCAAAGAGTGTTTAGTAAATAACATCGAGATAAGTTGGAAGTTCACAGATCCTAAATGCGACAAAATTTTTATTCTCAATTAGAGTTCTGGAGATAAGTGTTTTTACACATTTGAAATCATCAATCAATTATTGTTAGACCACCATTAGAAACCTGGAAGCAATGGAAGACGGCCGTTTCGCCCCGGTATGGGACTCATCAGAGTTAGACAATAACACCTTAGGATTTCGGCCCAATGGTCCGGAGGTTAGGCGTTCGCGCACAAGTCCTAAGGTACCAGGTTTGAATCCCGCGAGGTGCAAGAGTCGTGGGTGCGCACTGCTGAGTCCCATACCAGGACGAAACGGCCGTCTTCCAGGTTTCTAATGGTGGTCTAACAATAAATGGTTGATGATTTTAAATGTGTAAGAACCTTTATTCATTTTTATCCAAAAATGTGATCAAATCATGGACTAAATCTAATCATAGAAAGAAACAGACTTAACAAGTAGTTTTGACATTGCGAAGCTTGTCTCACTATACACAACATAGCTTAGTAATAAACATTTGAAAAATAGCCATTACATGTTGCCTTCAATTATATATATCAATTCATAGGTACATAAATATCTATATATATTTTGGAAGACAAGCGTCTGTTCTTTTTCACAGAACATACGCCTTCAAAGACAAGAATGTCTTCGTAGTTTTTCGCAAGGTCACACGAGCAATAATACTGGTTCAATAAAAGTAGTATCAGAGTCCTCAACAGTCATGACTGCGCATAAGGAAATCTAACCCAGCACTTTTGGTTTAGCGCGCAAAGCTTGATCTCAAGACCATTGATTCGGAATCCAGTGGTGGTAATATCTAACTTGACTCAATAGATCTGTGGTGCTAAGTGACCTCATCCATCTGACACGGTTGAACTCCCCTGGGCACAGTTTCTCACTAAAACTCTGAGAATTTCCTCGCGAAGCTAGTCATTAATGAACACATGATAACTGTCATTCTAGGGTGGTTGAGTTTCATTGAGATCATGAATCGATCAAAGTCGGGTGTGAAGCAGTTAACCACCGAAGACAATGGATGAGGTCACGCAATAGCGTAGATTGGTTCAAGTTCGATATAAACACATCTGAATGGCAACTCAGCGGGTCTAGAGGTTAAGCGTTCGCAAGAGAACGAAGTTGCTGAGTTGTATTTGCCCGTGCGTAATCGAGGGGTCCAATACTAGAATGAAATGACCGTTCAATGGTTCCAGGTTTTCAACGGTGGTTTAACAATGATTGATAAATGATTTCAATGAAACTCAGCAATCTCCCCCCACCCCTATGATTTTTAATTTTTTTTTACAATAAGTGAATTAGTTTGTTCTATTGTGACTGGTCGTTATAATGTGTCCCGTTGAATGGAAGTTGACTTGGTTGATAGTCGACATTTGAACATGTGGCTGATCAACCTTTATCGTATGAGGTTAGTAATTAGATAGGGCCTATCATTTCGATACGTCTATTCATCCAGATGATATGTTTCATGAAATTCCTGGAATTTTCTAGACCAATCGAATTTCATTAAATTGAATAATATTACGGGGACATTGGAGACGGTTAGAGTTGAGTAGTGGTCTTAGTAGGACCAAAGGTACAGCTATTCTGTAGTGAAGTCGTCGACGCACGCTGTCATTGGAGAGTTTCATACTAGTATTAGAAACAGCAATGGAATGCTTTTTGTTAGTTGTCTAACGAAGTTGACTCTGGTGTAACATATGAAACCCACTAATCCAATTTCTGAGTAGTGGCCAAAGTCACGAGGTATTTTACGGAGTTTTGGCCAAAAATCATGAATAGTGAAGTTTGACGAAATCGAACGAGAACCAGTTACCCCACAAACAGTATTTACACGTGATTTGGCTATAACGCAAACTAATTGAAGTCAGAAATGTAAACTACTGTATTATTTTAATCCAGCAGTGTAAATATTAAGTGATTTCAATAATAACTAAAGGACTTGAGGTAGGGTTACGGATACGCACTTCCTCTGAGGAGTCCAATATCGGGACAAAACAGCCATACAATGCTTCCTAGTTCTTAATGGTTAATCTAATTAATGTTGCTCTATAAGTGATTGATCACTGAGTACAGACCAATGTCATGTGCTTATACGCGTTAGTCCTAAGGCAGATCAGTCGTGGTACAAACAGCTCTGTGAAGCCGAGAGACATAAAATCAAATCCACCAGTTTCCTAAAAATAACAGGTGCGTCAGGATGAAAAGTGTCAAATACTGTGAAACCTAGGTTTCCTATCGACAACCTCCAATGAACAACACCTTACAGCTTATGTTAGTTCTTCAATTAGAGTTATGGGGATTAGTGTTTGTTGCAAATTGAAGTCATCAATCAATCATTGTTAGATCACCACCATTAGAAAACTGGAAGCACTGAAAGACGGCCGTTTCGTCCTGGTATGTGACTCATCATTGACAGTGTGCATCCACGACTTATGCACCTCGTGGGATTCAAACCCAGGACCTTCGGTTTTGCGCGCGAACGCCTAACTTCTAGTGTAAACAATTAGAGCACTTGCTAATTCCTCTCGTCTACTCTTCATCCTCTCTAATACATAATACTTCAACAAATAACAGAAAATGCAAACAACTAGGTATTTTAAACAAGTATTAATATTATTATCATTATTATTAACAGTGATTATTATAAATAATATTAATTAGTAAGAATAATTAGTGGCAGTGAAGAAATAGGCCAAAAACAGACAAGAGATTCACTTACACCAGTGAAACAACAAATTATACATACATGAAAATCGAGAGACAGTGAGAGAGTGGAAGAGACAGTAGAATAATAAAAATAAAAACAAATCAGCGTCAACAACAATGAATAGAAAAGAGAATTGAACAATGGTTTTTTTTCTCTTGGAAGCAAAAAATAAACAGAAATCAAATAAGGACAAAATAATACTGTCACGATTATTATTTGTAGTATGATTATTATGATTATGATTATCATTGTGATGAATAGGAATCAGTGTCCAGTGAAATGAATAAAAGCTCCTGGCTAAATAGCTGGGGCGTTTTCTGTTGAAAGGATAAGAAGAAACACTTCATCAATGAATACAATATACACAGACAGACATAAACACACTGAGAGAGAGAGAGAGAAATAATCATAAAGATGTGGCGATCGTTGAGGCGCGTCAATTCAAAGCAAATCACCCACACACACGCGCACACACACAATCATACAACAACCATATGAAGTGAGGATGACAGTGAAGAGACTATGAGTGACCATTGATCATGAAAGACAGACCAAGTAAACAGACTGGAGAAAAAAAATTAATTATTCACTGATAGAAGAAGTGGCAAAGGTGTTGGGAGGATGGGATAAAAACAATCAACAAAACAACCATTGAAACAGACCGCGATCTGTTTCAATGGTTGACAATGAATGAACAATTTTCAGAAAGAATAATCATTGAAAGGAAACACCTCATAGAAATGTATGTTGTATTGAGGAAAAAAAATACAAAAAATGATGGCCGTAGAGTGAGATAACAAGAGACACAAAGTTACGCAACATGCTAGATAAAAATGTATGTTATGTACAGTTAAAAATTGATATTAAGAATGACTCGGAAACATTTTGAGTTTCAGGTGTGATCACTCTATGATTATAATGAATTGTATTATATATATATATATATATATATATATATATATATATATATATATATTGGAAAAAACAGACACACGCGCACAACAATGATTGTGTTTATATATATATATATATATATATATATATATATATATATATATATGTTGTTTTACTTTTTTGGAGAGGAGTGTGCGAAGAAGTCTCTATAGTGTACACAAATGATACAAATATGTACGTGTCTCTGTGTGTGTGTATGTGTATATGTGTGTGTGTGTGTGAGAGAGAGAGAAACATAACGAACAGAAAAATATCAGCAGTATCAAAGTGACACACACACACACACACACGCAAAACATGCGTAATTATTCACAGTAATGATTCATACAATTGGCAGCTGGTTTACAATGTCCATGGCGAAATCAAACATCCTCATTCGTTCATTCATTAATTGATTCGGTATAGAAAAAAAAACAGTTGAACAAAAAAATATGATGACAACAACAGAAGGTGTACCAAATACAGTCTGTAGTATGAATAATAATAACAATGAGTTACATTATTGATTTTTTTTCCCTAAAAAAACAAAATCTGAATATATAGAAATTGACATATCTACGAATTAGGATTGATTGGCTTGCTTCTTCCTCGCCACTTTCACTCGCTCACTCACTCTCTCTCTGTGTGTGTGCAAAACAATAATTACGTAATAATAATAATAATAATAATAATAATAATAATAATAATAATAATGATAGAAGTACCGAATGATGCAGTTTATTGATTTTTATAATCTGTAGTTCATTGGAGCTATTGTTTTTTTTTCTTTAAAAAAAAATCTTAGTTTTTTTTCACTCACTCAAAGATAAATAAAACACAGAAAAGTTATAAGTATATAGAAATATATATATATATATAGAACAGAAGAAATGAGAAGAATGATATTATTGATTTCGAATATGATAACACAACAACAACAACAATAACAACAATAACATGAACAGTTTCCAAATGAAAAAAAATGCTGATCAAAGTGAGAGAGAGAGAGAGAGGATATAAAATTTCAATAAAAACAAACAAACAAACAAACGAAAATTGCACTGTGGATTTAAAAGAAAAACCAAACAACCGATAAATTAACTATTTAGAAAAATGTTTTTTTACATAAGTCACTGGGAACATTCCACGTCGATTTGGATCGGATTGAATGAAACCTTCCTATGATGAGGAAAAAAAGAAAGAAAGAAAGAAGTTGAAAAATAGCAAAAACGTAAGATCTGAAGATGATTTAAAAATGTTAATCATCACGAGTTAAGTCACATACTTAAAGTACTATTAAAGTGGGATAAGATAGGTTGATGTTTCGACCTATTGGAAACTTCATCAGTTAAAGGGGATGAGCCTTATAAATATACGTTGATGGCTTTATATGAATTCCATAGCTTGGTAGAAAAATAGATCAATTGTTTGAAGAGAAAAGTAAAACATTCGCGTTCCACTGTGAACATTAACAGTATGATACAGTGTGTACAATGCCAACTGATAAGTTACAAATAGTACAATGCGTGTGTCCGACATTCCAACATTACTAGACAACATTTATTTATTCTGTCAACAACAAAAAAGGTATGAGGAATTCAAAAGATTAGACCGTAGCTTCTACCTTGATATAGTGGTCGGGCTTGCCTATTGTGATGAACAAACTGAGCTAAATTGAATGAAACATATGTTAATTTACGTTTAAACGTGTCAGGCATACTGATTAGAGAACGGTAAGACTAGAAGCAGCAACTCAGACAAGGTCTGAGAGCGAAGCCGTACTGCTGACTGTAGAGAAGTGTGACAACAGCAAAGTGTTTTACTCAAACAACCAGCATTTGCAGCGATTCTACCTTCTTATAACAAAAGAAAGGGGTTACAAAAAGTTAACCCTAAAAATGTCACATTTCACACTACCCATATTTCCACAGATTTCCATATCCGGCAGTAAGGACCTCCTAAAAAAAGGCAGTTTGTGACAGGCTTCAAGCAGTTGTCCCTCGGGACCTGTGAACATACCCAGGTAGCTAAGATTCACGCTAATCCAATTTCCTTTCCAGGTTCTTCAAGAAATAACCTTCTACAGTGTGGGCAACCTGGAAGTGACATCCGCCCTCATATACGTACCAGCACATCAGACCAACTTAATCACATTCTAATCCTTCTTTCGGCTCTTAATAACTCTCTTATCGACTCGACTAATCCTTCTCACATTCCTATTTCAACTGGCGCCGCTGATACAAACGATCCGAGTACACAAAGTATTGTGAGACACATAATCACTGAAAAATGCCCTTAATAGTATAGGTTACGTTAGAAAGAAGCATCGAGTGTTCTTTTTGCTTAGAGTAATGTAATTTTAATTTATGAATCACTCGAGTGCGTTAAAGTCAACTTATTATTATTATCATCATCATCATCATTATCCTCGAAATAACAATGTATTACTAATAGTTTGTTAGTAGTTAAATAACAAATCACTAAAAGTTTGTAGGGATTAAAACAAACAGAAGTCATCATTCAGCATTAATCATGATTTGGGTGCCTTTCATCATAATTACGTCAACAAATATATCAATCAATATGTACATGATAGAAAAAATCAAGGAGATCAGTGATAGAATTAACATGAAATATCACACTAAAGAAAGATTAAATAAGCGAAACTAGAGTTTGTTCAACCAAAACATGCTGGTTTAAGTTTTTGACAAAACAACAAGAAAACAATATACTGTACACCAATTGCTTGCAATGTTGTTAATGCTAGAGAGGGGTGGAATGATGGATGCATAGACAAGCATTAAAAGTGATGATGAACATGTAAACATGTCTGTATAGGTAAAAGATAATTTGGCCGAATCTACACAAACAACCAACCAAACAAACAGACAAAAGAAAATCAGACATTCAAACCTTTTGAAATTGTGCCATATGATGACAATGATTCATTTGTTAAAACTGTCAGCCAATAACAGTAACAGAGTAATAACTTCGATGCACTTTATGTGGTAATATATATATATATATATATATATATATATATATATACATGTGCATGTGACAATCAGAGATTAAAACAAAAAATAAACATGTACAAGAATAAAATTCTATGGTTTGAAGAGTATTGAACATGTGGGTAGTTCACAACTATTCTGCTTAACATGGAATATAGACAGTGTTTGTTGATGTAAGTGTGTGTGTGTGTGTGCGTGCGGAATTTCATAACGAGCTAATGGGGTTAAGTGTCTGGAGAAATATTGACATGAATTTATAAAATCCAATTGGATTTTTCCAAATTAAGTTAATTATGATGTATACGAGATGTAAATTTGCTTGAAAGAAGTTGACGGAAAATTTTGTTTCGTGATGACAGTCACGGTAGTCAACACGGTAGTACCCGCAATCTCAAGGGTAATAATACTTCTTGGTGTAGTCAGCCAAATTCACAGTTTAAAGTGTTACAATTGAGCTATATTCAACACGTGACTAACTTCATGTTGGATTGTAACGTTACTACTAACAGTCAACCACTTTCAATCGCTTACATATATGAAAACATGGTGTACACAGTCATTCGTCAGCTATAGAGTAGAACTTCATACGTACGGTACATCGGTTCAAGTTGCCACACCACATTAGCACACACGGCTAAACCAAAACATGGAACAATTCCATGAAGTCACTGACAACTGGACTGAGTCATGTTGGTAGATAATATAGAGTACCTTGTTAGTGTCCTCGAGATGATAGTAACCGATTGTTAGAGATCTTGACTGACATGGCTCAAAATCGTTTGCAATGACCTAGGTGCATCCACTCTTTGTGTTCTCTGGAATTCTAATCTTCGGAATTCCTCATCACCTCTGTTTCTCCTCCTAAATTTATCTAACTGAATTATACTTCTGGAATAATTTGTTCCAACCCTAAAGTTCTCCATTAAGAGTAATACTTCTGTTATTTCTACCACAATGGGATTTGAACTGACAGTTGTGTCTCTCTGCTACTGTGGTATTGTAACTTGAACTGATTGTACGTACGTACAAAGTTCTACGTTGTAACTGACTGACTGACTGCTTCCGTGTAAACCAAATCTTGTTACTCACTTATACATACTGATATGCTCGCCAATCGATATGCTTGAATGCTATTACGAGTTCACATCACTCAGAAAGCGGAAAGAAGATCAAAGATGCAGTGACAAGATAGGTTATTGGAATACGTTTGTCCTCGGCCATGCCAACTAAAGCAAGAGGTCTTGATGAGGCGTAGAGAATGTATTCTACAAGCACCCAGAGAGTATGAGATCGACAAGCACTCAAATAGAGCTTATTTATAGCAACACCCTCGGGAGAGCCACAAAATAGCGTACTAAAATAATTTATCAAACAATGAGAGTCAAGGATTTCCTGAGTGCGAAATGTAAGTTGAAGGTCAACCAAGCGTCTCTTGGAGCGAAAACATGGAGAAATTCTAAATTTCAGAAATAAATTACAAAATTAGGACCTTTTTCAAGTGAGTTTTGGGGATATAACGTCACTGAACACATGCATACACATACATACATACAACACACACTGAACTACTCCACTTACCCACCAATCATCATCATCGTCTGGTTTATGAAGTAATTGTATAATTTCACCACGATTAAATGTTAATTCATCGGGATTTTCCGCTTCACAATCATATAATGCTTCGAATAGATCACCTAATTTACAATTTACCATTGATGATGATAATTGATTTGAGTTTTTCATACATTTCAATGAATGGGATGGCGATGATGTTGTTGGCATAGTGGGCGGATGATGAATGGTTGTTGATGAAGTGGTCTGTGGTAAATTGGTCTGATAATTATCTGAAAATTTAGTAATATACATTGACAGAAATATATAACAGGGATGATAATCAATAAAAAAAGTTTGGATATTCTTAATTCATACAACCATACATGGGTAATAATAATAATAATAATAATAATAATAATAATAATAATAATGATAATAATACAATTATACTATAATGTGATTCTCAGTTTTCAGTTATGACATAGAAACCATGAACCAACCATTGTTAGACCAACATTGGACGGCTGTTTCATTCTAGCATGGGACTCTCTTCAGCAGTGCGCATTCACGACAACCTCCGCTTGTGGGAATCGAACACAGAACCTTAGGTAATGCGCGCAAAATTTTAACTTCCAGACCATTGAATCGGCATCCAACAGTGTTAATGCTTAACTTTAATCAATCAACAATGTTGCACGAACCTTATTGATTGGTTGCAGTAGATAATTGTCTCACATCCAGCATAGTTGAACCTCAATGATCACAAATTCTTTTCATAACTCTACAGGAGATATTGTGAAGATTGTGGAATTCTCACAGACTACATCACGTATTGATCTTAGTTAGAAAACGATTGAAAGATAGCAAGTATAGGAAAGCTGTTTTGTTTGTGTTGGGATATTCATCCAATATCCTAAGAGAATTATTTCTGTAAGTCTAATTCTATTTGTCAATTCCTACTAGTCAATATTATGATCGTCTAATTATCAATGTCACGAACTTCAATGTTGTTTCCAATTGATCATCCTAACCGTCAATGTCACAGACTTTATTGTTGTTTCCTATTCGACCCAAATGTGTAAATACGCATTATCTGTAACGTTTTATGGCTCGGACTCAGATCCCTAGAGTACGGGATCCTGATTCTCTTTTGGAATCGGACCTCGTAATTTCTGGATGCTTTAAGAATACGTGTTTTACTTCATATCAAGTCATATATTTTACTCAATGGGGGTTTCGGACATTCGGATTAGAGTAGCATGTCGTGTCGCCAGATCCTCGCTCTCGTTTACTAAAAACGGCAAACTTGTAATAGTTCAAGCATATCAAATGACGTGTTTACGTGCAAGTGTAACAGTTTGGCACACCTTAGCAATGCTTATAACATTTAAGAAAATTCAGCCATCTCCATAAAACCTTGTAGTATTGTTATGCCTGCATGTAAACACGTCAACTTGATATACTTGAACTATTACGAGTTTACCTAGTCGGAAAACGAGAGCGAGGATCCTGCGACACGACATGCTACTCAAATCCGATTATCCCAACCCCCATATTAAGTAAAAGAAGACAAGACTTGATATGAAGAAGAACCTGTATTCTTCAAGGATCCAGAAGTACGAGGTCCGAGTCTAGAAGAGAATCAGGATCCCAAACTACGGATCCGGGTCACAAAACGTTACAGATAATGCATATTCATACAGTTAGGTCGAATAAGAAACAGCATCGAAGTCTGTGACATTGACAGTTAAGACGACCAATAGGAAGCAACATTCGAAGTGACATTGATAGTCAGGATAACCAATAAGAAACAACATCGGAGCACTTGACGTCGATATCTGGGACGACCATAAAATTGACCAGTAGGAATTAATCAATAGGAATTGAGCAATAATTCTCTTAGGATATTGGATGAATATCCTAACAAGTATGTGTACTAATATGTTGAGACCATATGGCTTGTCTTAGTCTTTGGACAAATTAATTAATTCATTTTTTCCAAGTTATTATTTACTCATTGTCTTTTGACCTTGTCAATTATTTGCTGATAACGGTGGTTGTTTTTTACTTGAACGTCCTTTGTTTATCACATGTCTAGCTTATTTTGTCTGACTATAAATACTTAGTCACATCTTGTCACATTGAGTTGACCCAGTCATTTTCTCCGCTTCTGTTTACTTTGCTTCGGCATTCTACTGTTTGTCTAATTGCACGAATGTATGAAATAAATCTATTCACATAAAAACCGTATTAGGCATTTAATTACCACTGCGGTACAAATGTGGTTCACCTAAGATTTATTTCATAGCATATATCCAGTTGTTCGTCTACATCGGAGTCAGATCCTGGAGTCACAAAAACACCTTTCATTCTAAAGTTTTGTTTTCAAAATGAAAATTATTTGATAATATTACTATGTGAAATAATTAAGAAGTTTAAATAGATAGAATAGATGGAGTCCAGAATGTATTTTTGTTTCTATACCTTCATTTATAGGTTGGATACAGTGAGCCTATATCAGCAGTGGCCCGACCATAGTTGCTACCTTGACGTGGTAGTCGGGCTTGACTATCCTGATGACCCAACCGAGCTATACTGGCTAGAACATATGTTCCTGAAGGTTCTACCATGCCAGGTAGGTCGATCGGAGAACGATGAGACTAAAAGCAGCTACTCAAGGTCTGAGGGTGAAGTCGTACCGCTGACTGCAGGGAGGTGTGACAGCAGTAAGGTGTTTCCCTTGGACAACCAGCATCTGCAGCGATGATGTCTTCTCACAAGGAAGGAAGGGTCGAACCTAAATATGTCACACGTCCCCTACCTCACGGATTTCCGTCTCCAGAGGTAAGGGTGCCCACTAAGGGCTTTTAAGAGCGGAGCTAATACTCAAAAAACCTTTCACAAAAAGGCCGTGCGTGACCGGCCTCAGGCAGTTGTCCCTTGGGCTCTGCGATCACGCACCCAGGTCTCTAAGACCAACACTAATCTATCTTCCTTTTCAGGTTCCTCTAGAAACAATCTTCCACGCTGTGGGCAGCTGGGATGTGACAAACGCCCTCATACCCGTAACAGCACACGAGACCAAGTTGGTCAAAATCAAATCCTTGCAACACCCCCTAATATCAGCAGTGAAACAATGAGGTCATTTTGATAGCAATCAGAAATGTCCTGATAAACCAATGTTTATGTATATATATATGATTAAAATATTTATTATTAGGGAGCCGAACAGACCGTGTATGTTTTGCTGTTTCCGTGTCGCCCAAATTGTTAGTTTCTGCGAGGGGAGGGTTAGCACATATAGACATTTAGATGTCCGACATTGCCCATTATAAGTAATGTTCCTTTCCTGGACATGAAACCAACAGCTTTCGAAAACCATCAGAAATTAATTTTATTCCAACTAGAAACATTCTGAAGGTGGGTTACTTACGGTCTGAAGCTCAGATAAAGAAGGAGTGTTAAGTATGGATAGGGTAAGCAACAAAAAGAAATGAGAAGCTTGTTTCCTAAATGATGTAGTTAAACACTGACAATATTCTTTACTAGAAAAAGCCGATTAAATCATCTTGTTCAAGGGAACTAAAGTCAAACTGAGTAATCATAATTCAGAAATAAAATTTTGTTTTTTTTTAACTCTAGAGTTACACGTTGAAATCATCAATGATGTTTTAATAATGATTGAATGTGCTCACTAGTGACTAGCTTAGTGAGGAGATTCTCGGAGTTCTAGTGACAAGACATGACCAGTGGAGTTCAACCTTGTTCTGGTGTAGGCAGTAACTACTGAAGACCGCAAAATCGTTAGATCAATCAGAGTTAGACATTAGCATCGTTAGATGCCGGCCCGGTGATCCAGAGCTTAGGTATTCGCGCGAAGGACCGAAAGTCCTCAGTTCAATTCCTGCAAGGTGCAGGAGTCGTGGATGCACACTGCTATTGGTGAGTCGCATAGCAGGACGAAACGGCCGTCTTCCAGTGTTTCCAGGTTTCTAATGATGGTCTAACAATCATTGATTGACGATTTCAAGGTGTAACGAAAATTTTCTGTAATTATTTTAGTCAATATCCAATATACAAATATACTATACATACATAATAGAGTATGTAAACAGAACAGACTTACCATTTGTATGTTGTGATAAAGAATATTTTATGGAATCAACCGATCGGTTAGATGAATTCACCATTGATTTAGGAACTTTTACCGTTGATCCAGTCGAAGTGTTCAGGGATGATTTCGTTGAAGAAGTATCATAGAGGATAGGTAAATTGGAACTGAGTAAATTAGGACTCTTTCGAATCTATAGAAAGAAAGAATGATAAAGGAAGAAAGGTGAGGATGTAGGGGGTTGATGGAAATAGGCGTTTTATGCTTTATATTTCAAATTTTTTCCAATTTTTCAGACAGCACAAAAAAAGAAAATAATAGTAAACATTACGATATGAAACAGTAAAAACCATAAATATCACTTATTTCAGAAGAGATAATGATGAGATATATTATCTATATCAATGGGGAGAGAAAGTAAGCAACAAGATTTGATTGACACGGAAGCAGTCAGTTACAACGTAGAACTTTGTACCTACGTACGTACATTAGTTCAAGTTGCTATACCACATTAGCTTGCAATTGTCAATTAGAATCCCAGAGTGGGGTTCGAAGATTTTGATTCAAGAAGTGTGATAACTTTAGAAAGATAAAGATAGAGGTGATGAGGAATTCAGAAGATTAGTATTTGAGCTAACACAAAGAGTGGATGTACCTCTGCCATGACAAACGATTTTAAGCCATATCATTCAACGTCTCTAACCATCAGTTACTATCATCTCACGGACCCCAACCAAGTAGTCTACACTTAACAACATGACTCAGTCCACTTGTCACTGACTTCATGGATTTCTGCCATGTTTTGGTTTGGCCGCCCCTAGCTTTCTTCCAACCTACTCCTACATCACAAGACATCGACACGGAAGCTAATTATGGGAAACATATTCAAATAAATATGAACACAAGGCCTAAAACTAAATAATTTCAATCACGCATAATACATTCATGAATCCTTATTATATTCATATGTAAACTATTATTAATTTTTGTCTAGTCATTTTAAATGTGTCATTTCGATGTGGTAGTTATTGAGTAGTCAAGTTTACTGTCATCACTTTCACACATTCCCACTTCACAAACATACAACAATACTTTGAGATGAAATGTATACCCTATTACAGGTTGAATATTAAATTTATTCTGAAATATCTAGTTAACTAGACATAAGCGAAATGTACTATGAAAGTTTAACTCCACTTCGGGCCTATTGCCGGTCCTCAGTCTGGATAAAGGAGGAGAGGGTTGGGCATCATACCATTGGCGACCCGATCACATAGAAAACTAACTTACCAATTGTGAATTTCGATTAGGTAAAGTTGAATAAATTGTATTGGATAAATAACTTGGTTTCGGTGGAACAGCAGGTGATGTGCAGATACCAGAAGAAGAAGCAGTAGTCATCGTTGTTGTTGCTGTTGTTGTGGTAGCTATGCCAGTCGCACTGATGGTATTGGCAGAAAGATCAAGCGATTCAGAAATAATTGGCTTCTCTTCCAATACATCCAAAATTATATCAATATGATCATTAGGCGGCAATGGTTTTTCATGAACCATTGAAGCTATATAAAATAAAAAAATTTTGATGAACATAATCAAGAAAGAGAGAAAAGATGACATAAGAAAATTAAATAAAATGAAAGCAATACTCTTTCATCAAAATATCATAGGTGGTGAATTCAACTTGAAGATTTACGAGTGTTAGGAACAGGGACGAGCGGGGGCGGTTGGTTTGGAAAAGGCAATTCAGTGTTGTACAATATAATAGAACTATAAACAAAAATTATCTGAGAATGCATATTTGTGAATTGAACTATTTCAATACATAGGATATTCACTGTATAGAATACACGAAACCATAAATGATAATATTTCGAAATAAGCTCTTTCTAACATACACTCGACAAAAAAGAAAACTGTTCATTTCATCGGTTATATGCGAATTTCGCACATGTATACTTTAATAAAAGGTCAAGTGATAGATAGGAGGAATTTTTTAATAACAGACAGCAGAAAACTGTTCACCAAAGTGATGAAATGTTATAGTTTTAAATTATTACGTTTAATGTTATGCTGTTAATCTAAACGAATACAATGATTTTCATAACTAATGTGAACGTGTAATGAAAATCCGAAGTGCCTAATCCTTAACCCTAACAACTAATTAAGGACTCACATAAAGGTCTATTTAGGTCCCCCTCATAAGACGGACCCAATTTATCAATCAATCAGAAAAATCATAGGCAACACATAGGATCAAGAAATAAATCAAAAAGGGGGATACAATCACAACATAGGTGCAAACAACGACAGGTTTAAGGTCAATAACAACAAATCAAGAAACAGGTTAACAGAACAAGCTACGGGTCTTATGTGGAGAAATTCAAATACTTCACTCCTTCTATCTGTAGTTTGTGCTGATGATGTTGTTCAGTAGAAGAACAATAGAAGCTCCACAACCAGGACATCCAGCTCAGGGAATGAAACTTCACTACATAGACGGCTAATCTCCAAATGCCATAGCACAGCTGAAGGTGGGGAGTTACTTCTCTCCGTCAATAAATTCTCCTAAATAGGCAACTCTCTCTCTCTCTCTCTATATATATATATATATAGCGGCTGATAGGGAAATCCTACTTGACAGACTTCTCATGGTGGTGGTGTTGTTTAGGAAAATTCTAAATTATGCATATTCTGAAAACTTTTCTTTGACATAGAAATTAATTTATTGTATGGATTGTATCATTATTAAATGCTATCTGTTTGTTGAGTAGTGATTATCAGACAAGTAAGTGAGTGTAGATGACAGTATTTTGGGGTCAATATTTGCTGAGTGTTATTCGCTGCTGTTATTTCACATTATAATAGTGTATTAGAAGTACTAGGTAAAGGTCTCGGCGAACTAATCACTATTCAAACGAAGATTAATACAACTACTCTCCTGATTTATGGGTCTAAAATGAACTAAATAAGAAAATTTATTTATTTTCATTGAAACACATTGGAAAGCTGAAAAAAACTGAGCACTAAGTGAAAGCTTTATCTTAGTTATATGGCTGCTTAGCCGTGAGAGGAGACATGAAGAGACCTTAGGTTTAATGCTCTGATATGCTTGATGCTATTACGAGTTCACTTTACTCGGTAAACACAACGGAAACAATGATTCAGTGACACGATCGGCTATTCTAATCTGATTACCCCAGGCTCCGCTAACTAAAGCGAGAAGTCTTGGTAAGGCGTAGAGAATGTTATTCTGTGGTGCGCGCTACTTATAAGTAGTATATGACGTGAGTGTCAACCTAATGTCTGGCAGCAGAAGATGGGGGAAGATCAAGAAAGGAAGAGTTAGAAGAACACAATGGAATTTGTATGAAACGCATGAATAGTGACAATGGATTGATGGTTTGCAACAGGAACAGTCCAGTTCGATATGATGGACTGATATTTTGCAAATTAACGATTTACGATATGGTTTTCCGACTTTACTGAGTAACTCTGTAATTTTCGTAAATACAATTCGGTTTCCCCACCTGTGCTCTCCTTCACTACAATTCTACTGGAGCCCAGAAAGATTGACGTCGCCAAGCGCACAAATCAAGCTTAGATATAAGATGATAGTAACACACTTGGTTAGAGCCACAAGATAGCGTACTAAAATAATCCATCAACCAATGATAGTCAAGGATTTTCCGAGTGGGAAATGTAAGCTGAAGGTCAAAATGAGTGTCTTTGGCATGAAAACATAAGAAATTCAAATTTTCAGCAACAAATTACAAAACTAGAACTTTTTTTTAACTGAGTTCTGGGGATCTAACGTACCAAAAATGCTCCAGTAGAGTTGTATATGTGCACACTATTGAGACGAAGCTATATCGTTCAGGTGATACCTAGTTTTCTATGGTTATTTAACCAAATTCAAAAATTCAAATTCATAAAACACTGTCAACAAAAATAATAATAACAACAACAACAACTTACAACTAGGTGTACGACTGACATCTAATCGATTGAACGTATTCCAAAACTATGAAGAAGATGATTAGACCAGAAAAAAAAACACAAAGTAAGCAGTAGTAGTAGTAGTAGTAGTAGTAGTATACACACAAAAATATCATCCAGTTTGATGAGAACATTTCTAGATGACATACCACAACAAAATGTTTAAATGACGTGCCAAAATAATAGTTTGGCAGTGAAACGTTTAATAATCCAACTGGTTAGTAATGCATTGATGGTATCAAGAAATAGGAGAGAGACAGAGAGAAAGAGAGAGAGAACTGAAAGTTGCAAGTGTTTGTTTTTTCCAAACTTAAAATCAAACAACAAGTATAATGTGTAGTGTAGTAGATAAGTGCGGCAAAACGAAGTGAACATATACACACACACACACATACACAGAGTGTAGCCCACCTCAGATTCAAATCCATGAAATATCATTCGATTTCTGTACATAGTAACCTGATGAAAAAAAGACAAGGAGGTTAATGCATCAAACAAACAACGATTGACTAAAAGTCAGTAGTCAGTTGGCTAGGGGTGGCCAAACTAAAATATGACACAAATTCATGAATTCACTGACCACAAGTGGACTGAGTCATGTTGGTACAAGTGAGTTATCTGGCTGCAATTCGCGAGACGAAAGTCATCAATGGTTAGAGACCTTGAATGACATGGCTCAAAATCGTTTTCAGTGGAGCAGGTGCATCCACTTGTTGTGTTTTACGAAATTCTATTCTTCTGAATTCCTCATCATCTCTATATTTCTCTTTCTGAATTTAACTCACTGAATTACACTTCTCGAATTATATCTTCGCTCCCTAATCTTCTCCGTTACTGCTAATACTTCTATTATCTCTACCACTATGGGATTTGAATTGACAGTTATGTCTCTGTGCTAATGCGGTATGACAACCTGAACTGATATAGGTACGTATGCAACCGCAATATTGCAAACGATTTCGAGCAATCTCATTCTAAGTCTCTAACCATCGGTTACGATTGTATCGCAGATCCCAACTGAGTAATCTACATCTACCAACATGGCTCAATCAAGTTGTCAGTGACCTCATGGATTTGTGTCACGTTTTGGTTTGGCTGCCCCTAAGCTTTCTTCCAACCTACACACCGACACCTACACTATAAAACATAGCTCATTGAAGCAGTAAGTGGTTGCGCAACACATGTACCAACCACAATTGATTAAAACAGAAAAAAATATTGATTACTTACATCAGTACTTCGAATTGACATACCACCACCACCACTAGAATCGTTCATTTGATCATCTACAGACGGTGGACGAGGAGCGGGACCTTTTTTTCTTGGTAATGTAGCCAGCGCACTACCATAATGAATTGAAGGTGAATGTTGACTATAGGCTAGACAATAAACAAAAAACACCGAATGACAATAAGAGTAGAGTGAGGTTATTAAGTCGAAATGAAAATTGAAGGAAAAATATTAATTTATTGCAAACTATTGTGTCATATGATTCTAATATTCATGTGAATTGTTTGCAAGAAATTATCAGTATTCATAATAGGTTTTTGTGTAGATGATTATTGAGTTCAATTAAAATCGTGAATCGATCAATGTCAGATTATCATTAGAAATCTGGAAGTAGTGGATGGCTGTTGCCTTCCAGTAACAATGACAGTGTGCATTCACGACCCTGCACATGGGAATCAAAACCAGCACCTTCAGTCTTGCGCGACAACGCTTATCCTCTAGACCACTGAGCCGGCATCTTACAGTGTGGATGTTTAACTTCGATCAATCGAAGGTATGGCGCAAACTCGTCCATGGTCTTCGGTAAGCAGCTGTTATGCTCGTCACTTGATATGATTGAAACTGTCACGAGTTCACCTTAGTCGATAAACGAGAACGAGACAATGAACCACTGTCTGGGTAGGCTACTGTGATCCATTGACCCAAAGGAACTAACCAAAAAGTCTTGATACAGCGTAGAAAGTGTATTCTACAAACACCCAGCAAATACAATGATCTCAAGCACACAAATCGCGTTTATTTATACCTCATAGAAACGTTAATGGGCGAGTCACAAAAATAGCACACTGTAATAACACAGCAACCAATCACAGCCAAGGATTTTCCTGGTGGGAAATGTGATCACAAAGTCAACTGATCAGGCCATGAATACATCAGAAATTAAGACATCAAGCGAGTTCTGGGGATCTAACGTCCCCAACAGTCACTGCCTCACACCCAACAGGGTTTAACTGTATTTGGTCAAAACTTTTCACTACGACTCCGTGAAATTTCCTCACATTGATCGATTCATAATTTCAATAAAATTCTTAATAAACGATATATGCCTAATTTAACACCTGTTTCAAATATTTAAATTCTTAACTTATTAATAATGATAGTCCAAAAAAGAACACTTTTACAAATATGAAGCAACCTAGCAAATGACAATAAATTCTACATACTTCTCTAACCAGTATACAAGATTATGTATGTATTTACTAACAGATTTCTTATTTACTTTATGAATATATATTTCTTCTACCATTAGCTTCAACTCTTCTAACTTTTCATTAATACTAACGATTTCATTAAATAGCTGAACATTCAGCCGTATTAATTGTGAGCAGGATAGTTAATGAAACCATTGAAAGTTTCCCCCCCCCCCAAACGCCCTGGTACAACCAAAAATGTAGAATCCATTCTTTCTCTCTTTCGCTCGAAATGCGCTCATATCGTTATGCGTACATAGTCGCTGACAGGAAAGTAATATTCACTGTCTTCTCATATGAACGAAGTTGTTTACTAATTTGAGAGAATGGAAAGCTAGTGTCGGGGAGAGCACTTTAACCGGGTTAGTTGGTAAGAAGGAACCAACTAAGGAGGTTGGGAAGTAGTCATTTCAGACTATTGATACACACACATAAGCTACAGCATCCTAATGGAACGAGTATCGTATGAATCTACAGTAAGTCATCAGAAGTAATGGGACAGCATCGGCTTACGTTGCTTCACTGCTATGTGGATTAGATTTTTGGGTGAAAAGTTCGGGGTATGGCCTCTTAAGAAACCAACCTGCTACGGTTTGCACAGCCAGGCAGTACTTCAGTCTACTTGCGTGGCGCCTAAATATTTAGTTGAAGAATTAGACAAGTGTATCTTAGTGAATAAAACATGTAATCAAAGTACATGTCAATATCATTTAAATTTTTATAGCAAAACAATAAAAAAACCAAATACTCACATCGTATAGGCTTATTTAATACTGATGAAATAACATCGTTATCTCTAGAATATTGATTTTCATCAAAAGTTATTTGTTTACCAGTTGAACTTGGTTTTGGTGTACATGATTCACATGAATTACGCGTAGAAATCTACAATTTTAGTTCATAATTTTAGAAAAAAAGAAATCAATTTCAGAGTTAATGTATAATAGAGGAAAGAGAGGAAAACAGATAAGTTTTATTGAAATGTAAGGATTTTTCACATAAAAAAATTTACAGAAACATTTCATTGACACACTGAACGAAAGCAAATTAGACAAATAATGAAAACCTGAAAGTAACAAACGGTTATTTTGTTCTCGGCAATCAAACCCACAACTTTCGATCACGTATACAGAGGAGATGTTTATACCTCAAAACCAATAAGCCAGCATTCAGTAGTGTGCTAATCCACAATATTGTGCGAACATCTTCAATTGCCCTCGGTGGATGCTTTTCCTAAACCTGAAACGACTTAATTACACTTGGTTACGGCTTCTTACTAGAATTTCAGAAATTTACTCTCAAAGCAAGTCACTAAAGAGCATATGATAAGTGTTAGTATAGGCTTGTAACTCATCCTGTAGCCCCTCCAGGGCTATAAGCAGTCACAAGTCCAGATAAAGGAGGAGGGTCGGCCATTGGGTTGGCGACTCCATCCGGTTGAAAAATAACTCGCTGAATGATAGTTAACGACAGAAAATAATCCAAACCATTTAAACTTTGCCCTAGGAGTTAGAAGGTCTTTATTTAGAAGAGCTATGATGTCTCATAATGAAAGCCAATTTTTTTCGGAAGTCACAACGAGGTCGATGCCCCTTCTGACAATCAGAGCCAGTGTGTCAGCATCTCTACAAATGATACAATTTAAAGTATCAATAACAATAATAACAAATAATCCTTGGTATAATAGTCTGGAAAAAAAATATTTTTTTTCAGACACAAGATAGGAAAGTTGTTTTTGTTGTTGCCGGTGTTATTTAACCTCAAATCATATAAGTCTGTGTTGTGTTGTGTGTGTGTGTGTGTGTGGTTAAGGGTTCAGGTAAGAAGAATAAAAACAATACCAAGAACCAATAACCTAAATTTCAGAGCCGGTTTTCATGCCTTGAAGAAGATAGACAAAAACCGGTCGATAAATGTGAATTTATAGCGTCTAACAAAAAAAAAACTGTTAAAAGAATTAAAAATCAACCTAAAAAGGCTAGTATAGAATGTTGGAATTTTTTCTCGTAAGGTTTGCAATTATTATTTGAATTAAAATTTTAATTTTTTTATCAATCAAAATTTGAATAATTTTGTTGATTGTCTTAGCAGATAGATGCGTATATACATATACCATAATGCGAATGATGAATCATCACAGTGTAGTAGTAATAGTCACTTATATCACATATTCATTAAACAGTTTATCTTGGGAGTCTCATCAATACCGATGGGACTGATGAAATCTCAGCGCGGATACAGAAGGGTCAGTTGGCTTTTGCCAACCTGCGTCACTTATAGCGTAGGCGAGATATACGTTTGCTAACCAAAGGACGAGTATACCGAGCAGCAGTTCGCTCCATCCTCCTTTATGGATGTGAAAAATGGCCAGTCAGAGTAGAAGATATTCGTAGGTTACTGGTTATCGACCGTAGGTGTCTTCGAAGCATTGCTCGAGTATCGTGGAACAGCCGAGTAAGCAATGCTATTGTTAGGAAACAGGTCCCAGGAAAGGGTGGAAGATCAAAATGTGAAGTATTGAAACTTAATCACTTGAGGTGGTGGAGACATGTGTTACGTACGCCTAACCACCGACTGCCTCGTCGAGCTATGTTTTGCGATATGGGAATAAGTTGGACGAAAGCTAGGGGCGGCCAGAACAAAACATGGCAGAAATGCATGAACTCACTGACAAATGGACTGAGTCATGTTGGTAGATGTAGACTACCTGGTTTGGGGTTGGCGAGACAACACTAGCTGATGGTTAGAGACGTTGAATGATATGGGTCCACTCTTTGTCTTATCTCAAATTCTGATCTGAATTTTTTTTATCTCCTTTATCTTTCTCTTTTTAAGTTTACTTGACTAGATTCTACTTCTTGAATATTTTCGAACCTTAATCGCTCCGATTACTGCCAATATTTCTACTATGTTTACTACTATGGGTTTTGAAGTGACAATCGTGTCTCTGTGCTAATGTGGTATGGCAACCTGAACTGATGTACGTACGTACGAAGTTCTACGTTGTCACTGACTGACTTAACAGTTTGTTGATAAACATTCAATATTTTGAATATAAATAGTGTTTTTCGTTTGATACGATTATTAATATGAAGCCCAAAGTTTTGAGTATCGCTATAAATGCTTTCATTTTTCTGTGGATAAACTAACATAGGAGTAGAGCATTCTTCGCATAGTTCATACCTGTGCAAATTACGGTGTAGATCTAGTAGTCTAGGGTAATTATTAGAATTGGATAGGAAATCAAATCTAGCGTTTATTTATCAAACTTCTTCATTTTGTTCTACGACCTGCCTGTTTTGCTAACATCAAAATAGTTCACTAATTTACCTCTTTTTGTTTGTTTCAACACATCAATCATGTCGATTATTCGCATAATCTATTCAGGTAAGCACGACCTAGCGCTTCATCACAAGGTACAAAAAATTACAAACCAAGATATCGCGTTCAGTCAGTCAGTCAGTTACAACGTAGAACTTTGTACGTTATGTACATCAGTTCAGGTTGCTATACTACATTAGCACACAGAGACACAACTGTCACTTCAAATCCTATAGTGGTAGAGATAGTAGAAGTATAAGCAGTAATGCAGAAGATTAGGGTTCGAAGATATTATTCAAGAAGTATAATTCATTGAGATAACTTTAGAAAGAGAAAGATAGAGATGATGAAGAATTCATAAGGTTAGAATTTGAGAGAACGAAATGAATGAATGCGCCTGCGCCATTGTAAACAATTTTGAGCCATGTCATTCAAGGTCTCTAATCATCGATTACTATCACCTCACAGTCCCCAACCAAGTAGCCTACATCTACCATATCGCGTTAGTTAGTAATATGCATTGAAAATGAGACCTGTTAAAATATTTATTTCATGCTGGGAAATTCATATTGTACTAAACATATAATATCGAATAAACACCATTATTATTATTATTATTATGATTATCATTATTTAAGAAAATAACGGATAATCTTTATTTATAAGTACAAATTTACTAGAGAAATTAATCTCAAATCTTTGTACACTTTGTTATTATAAAGTATGAAGAGAGAGAGAGATATTCATCTGTTGAAAGAAACTGGTTACTTACCAATTGATCAATATTTTTCATGATAGGTGATAATGAAAATGTCTCCTCTGATTGATTAGTATTATTACCATTATTATTTTCATGCAATGTTTTCGTCTGTAATTTTTTTGAACTACTACTACTACTACTAGTGGTAGTAGTAGTAGTAGTTACATTTTGCATATTTTGTGATGATATACTCGCAGCAGCATTCATAGTGCTAGTTGTAGGAATGAGAGTACGTTTACAAATATAATGACTTTTACCATGATTTACTACATGTACTGTTGTTGTTGGTGTCGTTGTCATGGTTGTCATGGTCGCGGTTGTCATGAACGATGCTGATGCAGATGATGCTGGCGTTGAAGTAGCAGTAGTACTAGTAGTAGTAGTCAATGGGCACCAATCAATGGAATTTAACTGATTTAACAATTCTGTAAGATGATGACGATAATTAGTTAATCTATCCATAGATTTATGTAAATTCGGAAATAATAATGATGAAGGAGAGGACGGAGAAGACGGAGATGAACACAGTGTAGCATGATCAATGAAATGATTTGTTGTTGTTGTTGTTGTTGTTTTATGTGAAGAGAATAGATTGGATGCAATGAAATTAGCTAATTTTAAAATATATTGACATTGTTTATAAGCATCTAATAATTCATTGTGATTATCATTGCAGGATTTTTGTTCTGTCAACAATATTGTATCCACAATATCTAATGCTGTTTGACCAGTATGATTAGTTAATTGAAGTAACTGTAAGAGAAAAGAAGAAGTAGGATAATAAAAAGAAAAAAAGTTACACAGTTTATATTTTCACTAATTGTGAAGAAGTACCACTATTATCTCGCATGGAGTATAAGGCTGTTTGTTGCTGACCAGCATTCTCCAACCTACTCTGTTCTGCCTGGACATTCCTATTGAGTCGTAGCCAATTGCTGTTCATTAGTTTCATGTCTGTTTTCAAGTCTCGATATGTGTTCGTTGGTCTTTCTTTTTTACTTTGACCTTGAAGACAATAAGTTAGGATTTGCTTTGTGATATAGATGGATGCGTTGCACAATATGTGTCCTATCCGCCTCCTGCGCTCTTTCCTAATTTCTTCCTCAGATGGAATCTGATTTGTTCGCTCCCACACTAGATTGTTGCTGGTGGTGTCTGGTGAACGGATTCTCAGTATCTCGCGTAGACAACTGTTAATAAACACCTGTATTTTGTGAATGATGATGCCTTTCGTGGTTTGCCAAGTTTACAACAAACAGAACTGACCTCTTATACGAAGAAGTCTAGTGGAGTATCCCGTTGACCAGTAGACCCAACTAACCATATTAACACTTACTAATTATAGCTTGATTCAGGATAAAAAAATAGTTTGTCTAATGATGAGTAATTTACAAAAATTACCAAATAATTTCTATCGATTTGGTCACACACGTATTTAGATCTCACAGCGACGGAGGAATACTAAAGGTATTTTTGATCTCATTGATTGAGCCTGAGAAAATGTCAGTGAATACTGGTGTAGTATACGAAGTCAAGTTTAGATGGATATATATATACATATATATAAATATATATAAATATATATATATATATATATATATATATATATATATATATTTGCAATACAAGCACGCTATTGATTGTCTTCTCTCACATCTCTTTTGGTCTTCAAAATACTCTGATCACGCCACCATGCATTAAGATCGCCGAACAATCATCTCTTTAGTAGCAACATCTAAGCAACGCTCCACTGTACACTACTTATATGTCATCTTGTGACCAAACTGTCATTTAAATATGCGAATTGATTCAGCTAGTCAATAGCTGATGATTAACGGGCAGTCCAAGACAATTATACACTGCTACACCATTTTGACATGATGAAATGTATTTAACAGGATGGTTTGTAGAACAGAAAGAAATAATGTAGCAGAAATGATAAAAGCGAATAATAAAAATTGGGAATATGGTTTAAGAAGACAGACAATCGAAAGGTATATATGAAGGCATACAAGGGTTTGCACCAGTGATCAATTCTTAAACATATTTACTAACGGATAAGTTTTACCTAACAATATGGCTCGGGTCAACGGTTAACAATTTAATAGACTGATGGCATGTTTTTGTTTGACTGATGTTAGCTTTTTTCTTATTTATTTATACACCAGCAAACATTGTCTGCCGAAGTATACAGAGTGGTTAGGTTTACAAAATACATGTAAGCGCATTCGTCTTACAACTTTATCTACCGATAGGTTGCATTTGCCTAACCGTCCTTCATTGTTCTATGGTCATAAGCGAGTAACTCTATGGAGACACATAGAATTAAGTGCTAATAACCTACAAATATCCTGAACTTTTTATAGGTGACACATTTTACAAACGCAATTATCCATAAACGGAACAAGTCAATAAGTGAACTCTATAATGCAAATGGTCTATAATTAATAAACTGATCTCACTGGCATTAATATGAAAACAGTATGAGGTAGCAGCTACCTTATTGATATGTTTACCAAATAATATTAGGTGTTATATACAGATGATGAAACAATACAACACAGAACACAAAAAAAACCAGATACCTACTGATGTTGGAATTCCGCCAGCTTGAACAATTAATTTCAACGCGTCCACACATCCATAACGAGCAGCATGATGTAATGCTGTGTCGCCTAATTTATTGGTACGTTTTAAACTACCCCTTAAACAAAAAGGGCAAAAGGACATAACAAACAAAATTAATATAAGACTTATAATTTTAATTAGGACAAACAATATACAATGTTTGATATTTTTTTCCTAAAATATATACATCAACTACAAACAGTGAAATAACATGGATGACAAAGAAGTAACAGGTCAATCAATTCAGCGCTAAAAAGGGTATCCAATCATTAATCGTAATACGATGAAGATTCGTAGCTGCGAAGTTTAGTAGTGAAATGTTCACAGTCATCTTCTCTACAGTATTATCAGCACAAAGTCACGGTAGAAGTGAGCGATTCGAATTTTTTCTGCATAAAATTAACAATAATCTGTTGAAATAATGAATCGACTACCATTAGAAACTAGGAAGCACTGGACGGCCGTTTCATCCTTGTATGGGACTCATCAGTAGTGCGTATCGACGACCACCGTTCACGGAAATCGAACCCAGAGCGTCGCCCGCGTCAGATATAAGACAGTTCCTTACTTACCGGGGACGATGGATGAGGTCACGCAAAATCGTGAATTCGTTGAAGAGGTTAGACGTTATCATCGTCGGATGACGGCTCAATGGTCTAGACGATAAGCGTTCGCGCGTAAGACCGAAGGTGCTGGGTTCGATTCCCAAGTGAATGCATACTGTCACTGTCACTAAAAGGCAACGGCCATCCACTCACTACTTCCAGGTTTCTAATGATAGTTGGTCTAACATTGATTAATTCATGATTTCAATGAAACTTAACAATTTCCACAACCCTATAATGACAATACACAAAAAGTACATATACACATTTTTTGCATAACTATTCATTTATTTACAGTGGGGAAAAAAAGTTTATAAAACTCGAAAACAAAAAAATGAAAACAGACACCGGATCAAATAATAATACACATTGAAAGTTCAAAAAAAATATAAATAAATAAATCGAAATGCATAAATGCAACCACATAAACAGAGACACAGACAAACACATACACACACACACGTGAAAGTAAACCAATACATCATTTGTGTATTTGATGCTTGTATTTTACATGTGTGAAATCTCTCAAGGATGAATCACACCATTAACAATCAAAGATTTATTTCTCTTAAGGCAAAAAAATAAAGATGTAAAACAGAATGTATTATATTAAGCGAAAGAATGAAAAACTAAGGAAAGCAGATATTTTTTGACTAGTCAATTCTTAGTCAGACATGAGTAATGTACAATAATAAGTCATCAATGTGCATTGGTTCGAGTTGTTGACATACCGTATTATAGCATAATGAGATGCCAGAGAGTATTCGGACTATTAGTAGTATAAGAGATTAAGTATACATAATATGATATGATTTACAAAATTAGCATGGATTGATGGACAGATTAGTTCATGCTACTTATTCAAGGGCTTTTCAATCAGTTAGTTACAACGTAGAACTTTGTACGTACGTACGTACGTACATACCACATTAGCACAGAGACATCGAATTGTCAGTTCAAATCACATAGTAGTAGTAGAGGTAGCAGAAGCATGAGCAGTAATCAGAGAGATTAGGGTTTGAAGATATTATTCAAGAAGTAGAATCTAGTGAAATGAACTTAAAAAGAAAAAGATACAGGTGATGAGGAATTAAGGAGGTTATGATTTAAGAGAACACAAAGAATGAATGCACCTGTGCTACTGCAAACGGGTTTGAGCCATGTTATTCAGGGTCTCTAACAATCGATTACTATCATCTGGCGGACTCCAACCAGGTAGTCTATATCTACCAACATGACTCAGTCCACTTGTCTGTGTCTTCATGGATTTGTGCCATGTTTCGGCTTAGTCGTCCTCAACTTTCTTCTAACCTGCTCCTACACCAAAAAACATAGCTCGATAAGGTAGCAACCTTGCACATTCATTAGTAATTATCGCCTATCATCTTGGATGAATATTCAGTCACAAAACAATTCGAATCTTTGGGCAAAAATAAGAAGAGAATTCAGCGGGGGGAGAATTTTCTTTTTCGACAAACTCATTGTACATTCATACTTGTAGTTCTATGATAAATATAAATAATAAGTCTGTAGAATTTTCTCGAATGTTTTTCTCGTTAGTTCATCTCTATCTCTTGGTTAACACATTCATAATAAATCTATCATTGTTATTGTTATAACTATAACTATTGATTATCAAAGTTTCGCAATGGTAAACTTATGAAAATAATTTCATCGACACGATAACAACACTTCGCTGAATCACAATCCTTCACATGTTATATATATGTATAGATGTTACAATGAATGTTAGAAATTCCATTAATGGTTGAAATTAATTTATGTACAATTCTTCTAATTATTATTATTATTACTCGGGTTACTTACTTTCCTTCCACTTTGTAAACTTTATCATGGTGAATAGACTGTTTGTTTTTTTCTTTGTAAGTGTTGTACCTTTTCATAAGTTTCTGTTAATTTATTACGAATCTATGGTTTATTTCATCTTAATTTTTATAGTGTAGTTAAGTGTATATAGTATTGTTTTTGTTGATACAGTTGTAAGGTCAATTAATTAATCTATTTTATCAGACAAGTATTAAGTTAGGAACGGAACTGTACAATGAAAAGTTTATCTATTTACTGGGCCTGGTGCGGCTGAGAGTAGGAAGAGTCTACTCGCTCTATCTCTTTCAAAATGCCCTAAAAAATGGCTACGCGTATATAGCTAGTGACAAGGAAGTACTACTCACCGCTTTCGATCAATTAGTGATGTGGTGAATCTTTATCAGACGAGATGGTTGAGACATATGTTACCACTAACTGCCTAGAGAAGCGATGTTTTATGACGTAGGAGAAGGTTGAAAGAAAGCTATGGGCAGCTAAGCCAAAACATGGCACAGATCCGTGAAGTAACTGACAAGTGGTCTGAACCATGTTCGTGAGTGTAGACTACTTGGTTGTGGTCCGCGAGATAATAGTAACTGATGGTTAGAGACATTGAATGACATGGCTCAAAATCATGTGCAATAGCGCAGGTACATCCCTCATTTGTATTCTCTCAAATTTTATTCTTTTGAATTGCTCATCACCTTTTTCTTTCTCTTTTTAAGTTTATTTCACTGAATTAATCACCGCTAATACTTCTACTAACTCTACTACTATGGGATTTGAATTGACAATCGCATCTCTGAGTTGATCTGATATGGCAACTTGAACTGATATACGTACGTACGAAGTTTCACATTGTAGGCGACTGACTGACTGACTGAGTGACTTCTCGTATCAACGGTGTTGTTTACGAAATCAAGTGTGGGAAAAGAGCAAGTATTCGATGAGTGCTTCAACCGGGTTGGTGGGTATGAAGGACTCTCACCTACGGAAGCTGGAAAACCCTCAATTCCAAACAAATGATACACATGGGTCACATGATCCTGATTGGATGAATGACTATTGGCACTGCATTTCTTTACATTGTTCCATTGCCTTGTGTATTGAACTTTTCGATCAAAGGTTTGGAGTATGGCCTCTTAAGAAAACTACCTGATTCAGTTTGGGCATCCGGGTTATATTCCAACCGATGCATAAGTTCAATAATTTGTGCAGTGCATGAGTAAGTGTCCCTTTGTACCAATGTTTATGTGTTTAAGCAGAAACAGTTCTTGTTCTGTCCTAGCTATCGGGTAAGTGAACGTGGGTGAAAATGAATATTGGATTGAAAGGCATTAGAAATTGTTTCGATTATTACTTTGCTATCATCGAGTCATTGGTCGGACAAAAGTCCCTGGTCCGACAAGAACGAATCAATAAACATTACTTCACTAAAATCATGAACCGATCAATACTAAACTATCAATGGACACCTAGAAACACTGGACGGCCGTTTTGTCTTAGTATGACACTCATCAGTAGTGCACGTACGCGACCCCGTAAAGAGGAATCAAACTCAGGAACTTTGGTTTCGCGCACGAACGATGTTAATGTTTAACTCTAACCAATAAACAGTATTGTGAGACTATCATCATTTTTCCGATGAGTGACTGTTTCACACTTGAAACGGTTGAACTCCACTGGTCACAGATTCTTACTAGATGAAACACTGTTAAAATGAAAATAATAATAACAATAATGACCTGATCTAACACACTTCCAAATCAGTCAAATGTCAATAATAAAAAAGGAATAAACTCACGATGTGGAATTTTGTAAAATGAATTCTACCAATGGTAAATTACAATGGGATGATTTTTCTAAGTCATAATTATTCATTGTATTCCATACTGTTGATGATTCATGTTGATGATGATGATTATTAGTAGTATTATTATAAAAATTTAAAAATGATTCCACAGTTTGTTGTTGTTGTTCATCAGTTGAATCAGTGATGTGTAATTTATTTTCATGAGAATAAATTGATTTGAATTTGGTCAAGAATGGATTGGTTGTTTCTACAGCTATATGTAATGCAGTTGTTCCTGGTAAAAATGATGTGGAATTATCATCATCTTCCGGTTGAAATGGTGTCATAAGATCTAATCGTTCAGCAAATACCTGTGTGAACAGATTCCCGCAAAAAAAACAAGAATATGAATGATTTGACTAACTTAACCAAGTATATACGATTGAATTGGATCACAACATAGACAGCATTGTTACATAAGTGCTTGACCCCAAGTTGTCGTTAGACTATATTGTTAGGATATTCATCCAATATCTTAAGGGAAGTATTGGTCAATTCCTATTGGTTAATTTCTACTGATCAATTTTATGATCGTCCTAGATATCAATGTCATGTACTCTAATGTTGTTTCATATTGGTAGTCCTGACTATCAATATCACTTCAAATGATGTTTCCTATTTGTCGTCGTAACTGTCAATGTCACAGACTTCAATGTTGGTTGCTATTCTACCTAACTGTATAAATATGCATTATCTGTAACGTTTTGTGACCCAGATCCTCATCCTCTTCTGGAATCGGACCTCGTACTTTCTGAATACTTGTAGAATACATGTTCTACTTCATATCAAGTCTTCCTCTTTTATTCAATGGGGGTTGGGACACTCAGATTAGAGTAGCATGTCGTCTCGCCAGATCCTCGATCCTCGCTATCGTTTTCCGAATAAGGTAAAACTCGTAATAGTTCAAGCACACCAAAATGACATATTTACGTTCATACGTAACAAATATGAGCATGAATAGTAAGGGTGTTGCAACGATGTGACAGCAATATAATATAATGAGAAAGACTGAACACTGAGAATATGTAGCTTGTAAATATAGAGAGGAAAGGAAAAAGATATGCATGAAGGTATACTGACGATCACAAACTAAAAAGTAAACAAGAACTGAACGTATTTGTGCCATTGTGATCGGTTTGGAATCATGTTACTCAACAACTTCAATCATAGGCTATTACGATAGCGTAGACAGATAACAAACAATGTGGTCTACCAACAAGGGTCAAAATGACAATCAATCATGTTATGATATGATTTTCTGCCTGCTCTCCT